GTGGCGGTTCTAGAAGAAAAGTCTACCAGGTGGCCAGGAGGGGGCAGCGTTGTTTTTATGAGGGAACAGAAAAACATGAAATAAAAAACAAGAGATTCAAATATATTAAGAGAGCTGCATGAAGTGAAATTTCTATTCAATTAGATTTAACTAGAATTCTGTGTCTTATTCGGTCAATATACATTCATAATTTAGGGATTTAACATATTTGTAACTTAATTTAAGTAAAATTACCATTTTTCTATGAAATCTGAATTAGAACTCAAGAAAAACGAATAAATTCAGCTGTACAAATAAGACTTTTTTTTTTTTTTTGAAAAAAACATTTAGCAGATGAAAACTGGGATCCTACCTTAATGCCACTGAAGCCTTATTATCACCTTATTGTTTTTTTAATTATGAGTAAAACAGAGTTTGTAAAGAAATAAATGAAATAGATCCAAAGGAGCTCTCAGTAACCATGTCTGTTCCAGCGCAGATCATCATTAGAATTTCTTTGAGTTTTATGTGGGGCCATAACAGGGGCCAGGACATGAGCCACAGGGGCACTGGCCCCCATTGGCCCCTGTTTAGAACCGCCCATGGTTCTCAGGATGGATCCTCCTGGTCAGGACAGAAGTTCTCTTACTGCTGAACAGAACCTCACAGATCAGCAGACATGGAGACACCAGAGAGTAGTCCAAAGAGCTGATGTCTCGTGGTGCCGGTTGCCATAGAAACATAGTCTCCGATTCCAGAACACCTGGCAGGTGACCCACAAGCCAATCATGGACAGGCGCTACCACAGCAGCTCCTGGACTCCTTAACTGGTCCCAGCTCAGGTCTATAGTGGGTGGGATCCCGCTTTTAACTGTCCTGGAGGTTCGGTACTGAATGGTTCTGTTCTGTGATCCACCGTTAAATCCACCCCCAGGCTTCCCAGCAGCGGACCGAGGCCACATTCTGGCCGCTGAAGAGCAGCTGTCCTCGGTCTGCCTGCGGAGCCTCCCCTCCCCCCCAGCCGGAGCTCCGCCACCGGCGGCCCAAGTCCGCTCACCGGAACATAACGACTCACCTGCAGCGGAGCTTTCTTTAAAAACGCTCCAGCATCCGCGACAACATGCTCCACCAGGGACGGCGCCATCTTGCTTTGACGACTGGAAGCTCCGGCGACCAATCAGAGGCGAGGATACGGTCTGATGACGTAGAAGGTGCTTTAAAAGCATCCTCCGGGTGGGAACTTTCATCGCTTTAAATAAATAAATACCCTGTAAAATAGATTTACCTAAATGATAACATTAATATTTAAGTAATAAATCAATTAATGTGATTATAAACTATTAATACTTGAAGTTATTAATGGTCATCACATTATTAGTTGTCATGCTTTCCTGGCTTATGTGCTCCATATAATAAGAAAACACTGAATAAACTGTGTAATTATTCATTAACAGTAATTCTTTAGGTAATGATCTTATAAGTGTGCAGGAAAGGCGTAAGTCATTCCGGTAGAGGACATGGGATTCATGCTTTTCATCATTGGACTTCTAATTTCCCACCGTCACAGAACGCATCATCTGAGCTCATAAGGTCACGTGAGGTTTTGTTGACAGTGGAGAAAGAGGGGAAGATGGCGGCGCGCTGGAGCAGTGAGAATGTAGTGGTGGAGTTTCGGGATGCTCAGGTGTTTATTTAGTTATTTATTTAATTTATAAATTTTTATGCTGACTCAGCCGTTTCTGACCGGAAGGTCACGTGATAAACATGTCCAGGTTGCTAAGGCGACAGCAGGGAGCCTCAGACATCCCTGTGGTGTCCAGCTCCTCCTGAGGACCATCCCAGTGAGATGTTGTCACTGGTTGCTCTGGTGTCTCTGGTCCTGGTTGCAGATCGATGTTCTCTCTGATGAACATCGATCTTCTAGTGAGACTCAGACCAGATGTTCAAACTGAGGAGCTCCCTCAGCAGCCATATTGGAATGTAGCTTTAGGTTAGTCCTGAAGTTTGAACTTAATGTGGAACTCTGGTGTTTACTGAGCCAGAACCTTTTTCTTTGCTTTGAAGGTCACAGTTCTAAAGAGTTCTGGTTCTGCTGCAGTGATAATCCTGGAGACACCATGATGATCTCTGACCGTCAATTCAATTTTATATTCTATTCAGTTTATTTCTATAGCTCCAATTCACATCATGTCATC